ATAGAGGATCTGCTGGGCGGTAAGTCCCAGAGTAAGAGTGCTTTTACTTTAATAAGACCGATGGACTGGCCAATCAGTCAAAGTTGTTTCTGTCCATGTATGGCATCATGAAGGGTGGTCAACACAAATCTCACTTCGGTGATGGCTGATAAGATCGTGTCTCCTCAGAATGCTTTCCTTGTCTTTCCTTGTCTTCTCCTCTCTCTCTCCGTTACACAGCAATCTACCCTAGCTCACAAGCTCGCAGTGGTTCGTCTTGCCAAGCTGGCAAACCTGACACAATTCATGGACTGCTGCACGAGAAGGGGTCGATGTAATTGGAGGCTGATGGGTGCTGCGCTGCTGGTGGCGGGATCCATCCTGAGGGCGGACGCGCGACACATGCGGTGGCCTGACGCACAGATGGTGGGTGCACACACATTCATCCGATCTGTGGTTGTGTGGAGGTGCGCTGATCTGTCTGTGTCCGCAGGGATATCTGGTTGCTCCATCGCCATTTGGCTCGTGTGCCCGCCCTTCCTCCCGCCCACACACTCGGCTGCACGCAGAGAGCGAGTACACACTCAATGGGAGGCCAATAGAAGGTCGGCACTACCGAACACGCTGCTCTGTCCGTGTCGACATCTGATAGATCTGACCTGACCCGTGTCCACGCGCACACAGATGTTGTGTGATGTGAATGTGTGCATTTGATTCATTCAGGTCCTCTGCGTCCGGTGGGTGGTGTTCTGTTGGTGAGGAGGAAGGAACCCATCGAAAAGACCGAGGGCGGACTGCTCATACCAACTGAGGTCAGAAGGCGTGCATCTCGGTCACGCGTTAGTGCACACAGTTGATTTGTGTCTGTTTGGTTGACTTATTGATCGATCATTCGTTAATTCAGAGCCAGGAGAAGCAGACCATCGGACAGGTGGTTGCCAGTGGGCCGGGAGCGCTGCATCCACAAACAGGGTGGGCAGTCTGACACGAGTTGGCGGCGACCTGCACACGCACTGATGTGTACCTCTGTCTGTCTGTGGACCTGTTGTGGGTGGATTGGATGTGTGTCAGAGTTCGTCTGCCCACTGACGTGACTGAGGGTGACTGGGTGCTGTTCGGACAATACGACGGACAGAATGTGAGGGAGGCTGGCACGGCACAGTGCACCTAACGACCTGTGACAAGCCATTCGACTTGACAACCCATTCCACTTTGGGTTACCTTACATACTTGCATCAGATCGACTACAACGGGAGCGACCATGTGCTGATAGACTCGGACAACATCGTGGCCAAGCTCAGCGGCGAAGGGGCAGAGACCGGCAGACCCACGCCTACCAACATCGCACCGCTCAGAGACTGGTCCGGATCTGTTGTGTGCACCGGACGGATGGACAGACATATGGCCTGCACCTGCACGTGTCTGTGTATCCATGTACTGCACGGTATGTATGTGTATGTGTCTGTGCTGTGTGCACGGTCAGTCTGTTGGTCAAGCTGCTGGAGCCAGAGACCAAGAGCGCGGGGGGTGTCATTCTCTCCCCAATGGGCACAAAGGAAAGCGAACCCATCAACGGAAAGGTGCGTGAGGGTGGGGGAGTGGGGGAGTGACGCAAGAGGAAGGGAAGCCGCACGTTGCACGTGAGTGTGATCCAACCTCTCTTGGCTTGGTACGTGGGGGCGCAGGTGATAAGTGTAGGTGAGGGCGGCTACGACATGAACGGCAAGCGGCTGCCCATTGACGTGACGTCGGGGGACAACATCCGGTTCAGCGAGTTTGCGAGCGAGGACAAGAACATCCAGTTCGGGGACGACAAGTACGTCTTCATCAAGATCAGCGACGTCATGGCCAAATGGTAAGTAAGCAACCCAGGCCTCCGTACAAACGGCTGGGCGGGCGGGCGCGTGTGTGGCCTGGCGAATGAAGCATGTGCGTGTGCGCGTGCCTGAGACGGCCCCTTGTGGTACGAAAGATGCACGAGCTATTTGTCGCTGATGGACAAGAGAGGCAAGTTTTTAAGAGGTGCGTGTGTCGTGGGTGTGACTGTGACTCTGACTGTCTGTGTGTGTGTCTGTATCAGTGAGCGAGTGCATGGGTGCACGATTGATGCGTACGCACGGACCTCCTCGTGCTGTCTGTCAATCATCATAAAGTTCTCGCATGCATACATCTGCACGTAGTCAGTCCATCGATCCATCCATCCATCCATCAGCCAAGGTCAGGCCAGCAAACGTACAGACAGACGGCGAAAAATGAGCAGGTCGTTAGGTGTGTACAGACAGACACACAGACAGACACATGTACGCTCCCACCCACTAAGTATGTCACAAGTCAGTCGCTCATTCGCTGCACATCCATCCATCCGTCCATCCATCCATCCATGGAATGGATGGATCAGAGGTAGTCGAGCCCTCTGTGGGTCTCGTGCTCGCTCAGAGCCACACCACTGCCCTTGGCGCCTGTGAATATCCTGTTTCACACGGACACGCAGGCAGACAGACAGACAGACATACAGAAGCCAGACACACGGCGTTCTGTGGGCGGGTGTTGTGTTGTGTTGGGGTGCCTTGCCATAGACATACATGGTGTGTCTTCCCGCCGCGACGACCTTTGCGCCATCTTTGCTGGTGACGTGCGCCTCGGCCAAACACGCACGCTGGCCCAACTTGAGCAAATGACTCTCAATCTACACGCGCGCACACTCATGACACGGTGGTATGCTCCCTGATGAAGGTGAGAGGCTCGTCAGTCACCTGGACAATTTCGCCGATGCCAGCGATGTTGATGAATGAAAGGTTGAGATCGGTCGACGTCACCGCCCGCTCGTCCTTGTCACAGCACCCTCCGTGCAGCGCCGTCGCGTTGCCTGCACACACATCACACACGACATGTCATGTGGGCGGCGCCTACAGCAGTCATCCATCAAGTCTGTCTACAAAGCGCACCTACCGATGAGTGTTGATATCATTCCCGAGTGCATGACGCCCTCCCAATGACACATCTCCTGCACCCTCACAACACACATACCACACACTTACTCAGGTCGGCAGTCGTGACCATGGTGTGCGTTGGCCGCCGTGCGCACCTGTGTGACTTCGAGTGAGAATTTGGCCCTCATGGTATCCTCAGACACGTCGACTAACGATAGGGCGGGCACCACCAGCTGCACACACCACACCGACCAACACAGCCAGATAGGAGAGAACGGCTCACGTCAGATCACAAACACGCTGCACTCGAACCTGATCGAAACTGTTTCGTTTTCTGCACAGCAGTGCGCCTCGCTGCAGCACCTGCAGATACACACAGACACACAGAACACTCATCCATTCTTGTGTGTGTGTGTGTGTGTGTGTGTGTGTGAAGGAGGCAGCAGAGATCAGCATCGTACCTTGAAGATCTTCTCGCGTATCGCTTGTTGCGCCATGGCACTGGGGCAAGACCCAAGGAGGTAACGGTGGACCTCAACCCCTCGTCTTCGCGAGAAGGAAATTCCTCGCGAGCTTGGGGGTTTCTGGGGGCCAGTCTCATGTCGATTGCATGCAGTGACCCGCACTCACCAAGTAAGAGGACAGGAATAGCTCGTCTGCAATGAGTCCGTGCAGGGGTTGTCTTCTCCTTCTCGTTCTGCAGTGGCATCATGTCCCAATTGCCGTCTGTCCTTGTTTTCGAGAAGCTGGCTATCGACACACACATCGACCTGTCGCCAGGCCACAAGAGGCGATACAGCCAAGAGAAGCAGCAACAGCAGCAGCAGCAGCAGCAGCAGGGCAGACACACCGATGCACTCAGACTGTCGCCGCCCGGGCCGGAGGAGCGGCGCCGCCCGAGAAGGAAGCGAGATGTGAGGGTCTCTCCAGCCAGGAGCATCCTGTCTTCGTGTTCGTCGACTGACTCGCTGGCAGAGTGGAAGAGGCCAGTGGGCGGCTCGCCGATGAGCGACGCGCAGGGTGTGGTGTGCACTAAGTCTTAATTAATTTCTTAATTGCAGGTGCACACACGTTTGCAGTGCCTGTCTTCCTGTGTGTGACCTCTGTCGTTGCAGTGTGCGGCACTCGTTTCGTGACCTATGAGACGCCCCTCGTGCAGGGTTGCAGTCAGCGGGTCATCGACGAAAGTACACGAGCCACATCCGACGATGTGATCGGGCCCTGCGAAGCGCCACCACTCAACGGAGTGATGAGCGAGGGATTCGTCAAGGTGGTATCGGTCAGACGTGGCGGCGGCTCCATCATGGAGCCCATCGACAGCCACAGCGCACCGCCTCCAGCGCACAAACACGAAAGACAACAACGGCCAGCCGTCGCCGAGATTCCAGCGGCAGCATCCATCAGCAACGGCCCCTTGTCAGCTCAGCCAATTGAGAAATATCAGGCCAGAAGGCAGCACCAGATAGAGGAGCACAAATTCCAAGATGACAAGAAGCCAAAGGCGGCCATCCAGGAGAGAGAACCACCCATGCTGCCCACATTTCGTCCGAGAGCCAGACGCACTGGCGCGTCTCATGAAGACGAGAAGCCACAGAAGGAGACACCCCCCGCCCTGCGGCCACAAGAAGCGGCCAGACCAGAAGAGCCACGTGTGGTGGTGACCAGATTAGTCGAGAGAGGACGACGTATCGAGGAGCAGAGGAGACAAGATGAAGCTATTCCGGTCTTACTGTCGTCCATGCCCAGGCGGCGATGCTCTTCCCTGAATGCCATCGAGGCTGATGAAACGGCGACGGCCACAGACGCGTCTCGTTGGATCAGCCAAGGTCCTGTCCCTCCTCCACAGTCCGAAGACAGAGCATCCTCCTTGCACCCTCCACCCTCCCTCCCCTGCTCATTCTCTCCGTCATTTGCCCCCTCGCCCCAATCATCGACCGATCAGCTCTCCCCCCCTACTGCAGCAGAGGACATTGCCACTCCTGTTGGTGCACCGCCGTCTCCCTCTGCCCCGTCCCTTGCTCACGAGGAGGCCACATGGCCCTCTAACCCACAAACAAGAACACGGCCGTCCGTCCCCTCTCTACCGATCTCTCCACCGCCCCTACCACATTTCAACCCTATGTGCCAACCAACGGTGCCGAGACGTCCTCCCAATGGCATGCAGTGTTCCTCTGTCAGCCATGGCGTGGCTGTGCATGTGTTGCGGCCGCTGAGGACGTCACTGGCCAGAGAGAGGCTGGTGAGCCCTCAGGCGTCCACCCCGCCAAAGAGGGCCAATGCAGGGGCGGATCGCACCAGCGATAGTGCGCCGCCGGATCGGTCAACGCGGGATGAGCAATGTCAGACGCATGAACGAAAGTAAGCGGTATCCAGGAGGAAATACACCTTCTCCCATGTGCGTGTCCATGTTTTGTCTGTTCGTTTCTTGCACAGCAGCAGCCCCCGCGCTGATGATTTGGTGCCGACACGAAGGATAAAGGACGAGGGTAAGCAGGTCACATTCATCCAAAGTCGCACACATGTCCATCCCCTCCGTCTGCAGGCTTCCCGCCCGCTGTCCCACTGGCGGCAGTGCATCAACCCCCCCCTCTCCCCAGAACCCCAGAAGGATCTAGGGCCAAGAAGGCTGTGCCGTGCAAGAAATACACGGCCGCCAAAGTAAAGTCGAGGGCACACACGTAAGGAAGCCATCCTTGGCTATTCTGCTCTGCCAAAACACACACGTGGATGAGACACGTGTGTCTGTGTGGGTGTATCCACTCGTCCACGGGCGACACAGGCCGGTGAGGGGGCCGGAGACACCCACAAACCCACTCCAGGAAAGAATAATGGAGATTGTCAACGCACGGTAGGTACAGCCCGGGCCTTCGAGGCAGAAGGTCGCTTACGCACTTATTAATGTGTGGGCAGGTGTCCGTATACGTCGTCAGTGAGTTTCCTGGGCAGCAACCGGTACCTCTTCAGCGGCCATGAGGTGACTATTCTCGAAGAGAGATGCCTGCCCACAGAATGGATCAGAGGTGAGACAAGCGGGGAAGACGGAAAATACACGAATGCGTAGTTTGGCAAATGCACTCACTCAGGTGGATCGATAAACGGCGGTTTCCCTTGCCCCTCCGGGCTGGTTGTGTATCATCATGCGAGCGGACAGTACTTGGACCTTTATGCATTCGTCAGTGCATGCTGCCCGGTAGGTACTTCTTACTTATCTTGCGTGCCTGCTCACCTGCCTGGCTAAATGGACGAATGACAAGCAAGTGTCTCATTCGTGTGTGCAGCCCCTCGCCGCTCAACCGAGACACAGACATCCCTCTTGCAAGAGGGTGAGACACATGTGAAGACCCCATCCCCAATACGAGATATGAGTGATATGTATCGATCCATCGGTTAGGCATCCACCCCTGCCCCTGCCCCCTCTCCCTCTCCCTCTCCCTCCCCCTCCCCTCCCGTCTATCTGCTGCCCACCTACTGGCAAAGAGACCTTGCTAATACACCTGCTTCTGCGAAACCGTAGCCAGCCAGCCAGCCAGCCAGGCAGCCAGCCAGCCAGGCAGCCATCGCATTTATAGATGCATGCCATGCAGGTGTCTGTCTGTCGCACCCATTTGTTGGCTTCCCTCGTGGGTGTGTGTATCCACACAGATGGACGTCTCTCACTGTGTAGGTGGTGATTGCTTGATATCATTGCACACAGACAGGAGTCCTTGATCAACATGCCGTTGCCACCCTTTTTGATCAACGACAGGAAGTTCAACTCGTCCAGTGGGCAGTCGAGGGCATCGCCGCACACACGCATCCTCTGGCCGTTGTAGATGGCTTGAAGGCTTTGCGCCATTGAGGACGGCAACATTCAATTCGGCGATGAGTCGGCATCTTCGGCGTCTCAGCCCCCTTGGCGGGGGCCGTCTCAGATCATCTTGTCGCAGGTTGCTTCAGATTGATCTGTGAAGCCCGGGCAGAGCACACGTATACGTGTCGACCCACGTACAGTACGTGTGTACGATAGATACGATACAGGTGTGTGTGCGTCAGGCAGGCGCACACACCAGACTATACAAACCACAACTTAACCGCGGCCAAGTGGCCGGCCGGCACCCTAACACCTCGCTGACGGACTGACCTACTTGGCGATCGATGCTGGCTTACTCACTCTACCCGGATGCATCAGCCACATCGCATCGCACATCGATCGACACAATAAAACACTCAATCCTCACACCCCCGCACTCTCCGCCTATTCATTCATTGTCACAGACATTCTCGCTCGTTCACGCCTTGACAACCTCCTCTTCGCCCGTCTCCTTGGGCTGCTCGTGACGGCTGGGGGCCGCCTCGTTGTTGCTTTTGGCAGCTGCTGCAGCTCTCCTCTCATCGTTGACGATGGCCGCTGGCTCGATGAGCTCGGGACCACCCTTTTCCGTCTCGTCAGCTGCCGTGGGCGTAAAGTAGCCGAAGACCTCGTCCTGGTCTGGGGTGGGGGGCTCCTGACCCTCACCATGACCTGCTGCCTCCTTGTCGCGTGCCTCTCGCTCCTTCTTCTTCCTCTCGTCCTCTCGACGGACCTTCTCCTTCCGAACATGCTCCTGCACCAACCTGATGGACAGAGAGACAGGGAGAGGGAGGGAGAGGGAGGGAGAGGGAGGGGGAGGGGGA